CAATACAATATCCAAAACTTTTTTTTTTCTGTTTAATCTAGATGGTCTAGTGTGCATTTTCAGTTTCTTAATTAAGATGTCTCCGTTTCTATTCTCAAATAAATACACACACAGTACAGCAAAAGAGATGTGGTGACAACTAACTTTATTGAAAATCACACTGAATAACAGTCTGAACGAAATGGGAAATAGTGCTCTACTACGGAGTACAGTGACCGACGTGACTAGAACCTTAGGCAATGTTTTCAAGATAAGGGAGACTATATAAGAATAAGGAAGCAAGTTATACAAGTCGTAACGAATATCACTGCAATTTAGAAAAAAAAAACACGAAAAACAACATAAGTTATACTGTATCAATGACTGATAACACGTGGTTAACAATGGGAAAAAAATAATAAAATCATTAAGGCCGAAATCATTCTCTCAATCATAGCTTTCCAAATTTGAACTGATCCATTTAAGCAATAACTTGGATAATTTAAAAATAAAATTGTATTGCAACCTAGCACTAAAGTTTTACCTCAAGTTTAGATAGAATTTATTATGTATTTCCTTTATGAATGGGAGTAAAATAATCAAAAATAATAAAAAACTTAAAGGATTGTTTAAATAATTTTCTTCATCAGAGTTTGAAATGAGCAGGCCCGTCAATAGCTTATAAGTAAGGGTAATAGTTGAAACAAGCAGATACATACAACGGAAAAATACTACATAGGGGTTTCAATCATTTTCAAACCTATATAAAGTAGAAGTACTGGAGTGATACTGTAAATAATTTCTCATGTTATTTTTCCCGCTGGTACTAAAGATAAGAATCATCTGAGATACTTGCTATTTTTTTAAACCATTTTTAATAAACCAAGCAATTTCTTTATTCAACTTTTAGGTTTCTAAAGATAACGATGTTGTATATTCTAAAAAATAATTTTTAACTACCACTGGTAACTATTAAGTGTCTAGGTAATGTTACTTTACTTGGTGATTCAGTATCTACTTATTAGCTATTAGTTAGTATCAACCCTTTCATAACATTTTAAAAAAGGGTACTAAAAGCCTTAATTAATTTTATAAATAAAGAATAAAATATTAAGTAGAAAGTAAATACTACCTGTAAATGGGGCAGTTACAAAAAAAAAACAAAAACAAATAAAACAAGAAAAAGTGTTCCACAATTTAATAAAAATAATTAACTATAGAGTGCTGTGTATTATATGGTTGTTTTAATAAATTTAATGTTAAAGATTCATTATCAAACTACAAAATATCAGCTACCTGAAGCTAAGAATATTTTTAAGATCGAGATATCTACATAAGAAGCAACATTTATCAATATGTGCTACAAAGAAAATAATGAATAACAGCCAATGGTTTTAAATGGTAAAACCATTAGCATAAGTCTTTTATTAAGTCTACTTTCTTTGAAAAATCATGTAACTAGTTTGTATTATTACTATTAGTTCAATCTCTATGATGGTCATAAGTAATTTCTGTAATGATAGTGAATCTTTAACTGCACAAAAAATAACTAGAGTACACTATTTTTGGAAAAGCATGCGAGTGAATTCCATGTAATCGTAGGCTCCTGTTATGGTACGTCCACTTTTTGGTTCCACGTAGGGCTTCATGCGAGATACACAGTAGTCTGCCATTTCTACAGTAAGGTTCTAAGTAATGCAAGAATAAAGTGAATAAGAATGTTCAGAAAAATGTATAAAACAGATTTTGTTTTGAGATAATCACTGTTGATAAGTTTATAAAAATAGTAAGACTGATATCCATTGTTTGAAGTGAGGTGAAGGAGAATCATATGAGTTAACAATGTATTACAATTTCAAGCAGGTAACTTATCACCACATATTTTGTCTATATTTTGTGAGTGCCTTTACGGTGTCTAAAGCAAATCTGATGTCACTTAGGAGTGTTCTTTACCCAAAAGTTCTGTGATCTCTTTCTTTTTGTTTGATTTTTACAAAAATGACATTAAATTTACTATCATTCCAAATTATTATTCTCCCAAAAACAGTTTGAGAAAAAAACCGTACATTCTATCTCTGCTGATTAAAATGGCTTTGATCTTAAAACTAAATTTTTTATCATTCAAAAATTTCTTCTTATCTAATTAAAATTCAAGAAAAAATTTACCTTTAATTCAACCCTCAATACAATTTAGATTGTAAGAAAAAACACATTTACTCAATCAGGAATATTCTTTATAGAACAGAATTAAACAGCAAAGAAAACATTTATCCTGTCTGCTTTTGTTGACATAATTTGGATTATAAAACTAACAAAAGTTGTTTGTTTTAGGGAATTTCCAAAATTTATAATTAAAATAAATAATTAAAAATGGTTTACTTAATTTTTTAAACTCAATTTGAATTTAAAATAATATATCTTTTCATCTCACAGAAGTTAAGGAAAATGGATATCTCCTATACAAAAAAAACAACATTACTTTCACTCAACATATATTGTCTTATTTTATTGTTTTCTTATTCCTTTTTCAAATGAATCAAAGCTTATGTTATTTCACTTTCTCCTAATTAAGTTATAATAAGTGTGTTTACTGTAAATTATTACCATTCAAAATTTCTACAAATCATAAGATTGTTCATCTTAATCATTACCCAGAGAGCAGAAGTTTCAATTTTTAATGATTTGTATTGCTTTAGATGCAAGCAGTTCATACTTAATTTTGAGAGATTTCAATATTTTTTTTTTTACGTTTTATGGACTATGTATACAAATAGTACTTACAGCATACAAGTCATCAGCTGTGACATATGGACGTTCACCAGAAGTAATAGCTCGGAAAGCATTTTCGATATCTTCACTAGATCGTACATTCTCCGTTTCACGAGATATCATGAAAGCCATGTACTCTTGTAAGGACACAAAACCATCTCTGTTTGGATCAACAGCATTGAGGATAGTTTCAAACTCTGGGTCAGGCTGCCCCTCATCCACCATTGGGAGATCATAGCCTAAAGCTCGCAGACAACTCTTAAACTGGTAATGATTCAATCTACCAATCTTTTCTCTATCAAAGTGCCTGCATAAAAAACAAAACAATTTTGATGGACATATACAAAGCGTCACACTCGGCTTTCTTAAAGATTACAAATAACATGCTCATTTAAAAAAACAAAAACGAAACATAGGTGACATTTTATTGAAGTTTAAATGAAGAGCATAAATGTTAATATTAAGTAACATTATGTTAAATTACATCTGAACACTAAAACATGCGAGTAGCAAGTATGCATGACATCTAAATTTCAAACTAATAAATATAGCATTAACTGATAAAATCTTGAACAAAACAAACTTGCATTCAAGCATTTTAGTACACTGTAATAATGAAAATATCAAATATTTATTCTGCATTGGGAATTACAATTCATTTTCTTAAGTTTAGGCTAACAGTAAAAAAGAAATTATGTAGACAGAAAAAAACAATCTATGTTTATTGTGAATTGTCGTCTTTTTAACAACTTTTCATGTTGCTGTGAAAATATTATCAGTTTTACATTTTAGTCAGTTTAGAAATTTGACTAAGTTTTGTATTTCGCTTTTACACATTCCCTAGAACTTAAGTTTCATTTTTGTATCTGTAAAGGCTATTCGCTTTACATTCTTTTAATAATGTTAAAGTTAATCCCAATAATGGCAGTGAAGCAGTAAGATTAAATATCATTTTCTTGTGTAAAAATGAACTCATAAGACTAGTTGTTGCACATAACAAACAGAGAAAAAAACTTACTTAAACATCATGCTAAACTCCTTCAAAGCATCTTCTGAAACACCACTCTGGTTTCTGGAACAGTCAATAAAAACATGTTATGATTGTTTAGTGGTATAATTTATCCAATAATCAGAATTCTGGCAATTTTTTTATATGATGAATGTAACTAAGAAATTATTAATGTGAAAATTGTTCACCAATCAGGATCCGGACTGATTAAGATTAGTAGAATCTTTTTAAATAAAAATAACAACAATATGTAAACAGTACTACTCCTTGAAAAGTTTAAGGACAGTCAACTCACCGAGCCTGGATTTGTTGTTCCAGATTGTGTTGCATCCTCATTCCAAGCTGATCCAGTTGATCCCATTGTTGTGCCAGTCCAACAGTACTATGTTCAGTGTATCGATTATCTAAGATCAGATGTTCTTCTAGTGTTGCACCCAGATCCTCCAGTTTTTTAAGGTCAGCTCTCTTGGCTCTTACTTCTACTGACTTAGCCTGTTCAAAGAACAAAACATAATATATCAAAGAAAGAAATATCTATAAAATCTAAATACTTAACACGTGCGTAATTATTTCTAGACAACAGATATACTAGAGCAGGCATTATTTAAAACAGCCATTAAAGTTTTTGAACGAAAATGGAACAAAATTACAAGGATATTTTTAAATTGACAAGTTGCAGATTATGTTATCATAACTACATATGATAGTTCATAATACTTAAGTAAAAGCTAATACATCAATTATTATTTTATCTCAGGTAGTACCAAACAAGTAAAGTATAATATTGCACAATATTTACATCGATACAGAAATCTTGATAGACTAGAATGTTTTAGTGAAAATCTTGTCTTTTCTTTGTCCAAATTCTATAAAATGGTTAAACTTTGAAAATATATTATATAGTTTGTCTCAAAAACAACATAAAATACATTATAATACTGAATACATTACAGTGTGCATAAATCCCCTGACTACTGTGAAACAATAAAGACATTATAGTGTGTATAAAACCCCTGACCACTGTGAGACAATAAAGACATTATAGTGTGTATGAATAACCCTGACCATTGTGAAACAATGAAGACATTATAGTCTGTATAAATCCCCTGACTACTGTGAAACAATAAAGACATTATAGTGTGTATGAATAACCCTGACCATTGTGAAACAATGAAGACATTATAGTGTGTATAAAATCCTTGATGATTGTGAAACAATGAAGAATTATAGTGTGCATAAACTCCCTGACAATTGTGAAACAATGAAGACATTATATTGTGGATAAACCTCCTGACTATTGTGAAACAATGAAGACATTATAGTGTACATAAACCTCCTGACTATTGTGAAACAATGAAGACATTATAGTGCACATAAACTCCCTGATCCTGTGCAACAATAAAAACATTATTGTGTGCATAAACCCCTGGCCATTGTGAAACAATGAAGACATTATACTGTGCATAAACCTCTAACTATTGTAAAAACCTCGCTGTAGAAGTTAAAGGTGTAAAAAACTTGATCATTCAGGACAATACTTGCATATTAGATATTAAACACATTACTCAGTATCTGATATGATATGAAAAAAAGAACAACAAAAACTAGAACATAAAAATGTCTGTGTTCGTGTACTCACTTTTATAGCCTCAAGTTGAGTTTCCAAGTTACCTGTAACTTCCATCATTGAAGACCTGCAGTTACAAGAATAAATGATATCAACCATAGAAGTTTATACTAATGACCAAAAAAAAATCAAGAAAATATTAAACATTTTAACCAGTTCTATACACTTTGTCAAAATTAGTTAAGTAAGTATATACTATGGAAAAAAAATAAAATTCTGTGTTATCATTAATATTTCAAGTTTAATAATAAAAAGGGTTTGTTTGAAGTTAAGCACAAAGCTACTCAATGGGCTATCTATACTCTGCCCACATGGGTATCGAAACCCGGTTTCTAGCATTGTAAGTCCGCAGAAAATATTGCTGTGCCACTGGAGGACAATAAAAAGGGCCCCACACAGAAAAAAAGAACATCATAGAAAGAAAGAAAATCCTAGGCAAAGTATTCTGTGAAATGGATGGCAACTGCCTATTAAAGAAACACTTGTAGAAATATATATTGTTGACTATTAGAACTAGACATACTTCTGCAGGATCCCGAAAGCATTCTGTTTCAAGAATAAATAAAACCAAAATTAAGAGTAACAAATATTTTTATTTCTTGTTTTTGAAGTTCATATGCCACACTGTGTTGTAGCCTACAGAGTGCATAATTGTTCTCATGATTCACAGCATTTACACATTTTACTCATGTTATGACAGTACAAAGTGCAATGTTAAGCATTTCTTTTGTGATGTCATTTTAGTGTCTATTGACTGACTGACAGACAACACACTATTGTATATGGGTGCGAGTGGTTAAAATGGGTGACCCCCCCCCCTCCAGGCAGCCTTTGGCCACCTTTTGGGGAAATTAAAATACTTAAGAAACTTAAGTACTTTTACTTTATTTTTCATCATCTCAAGTTCATAAGTAAAAGGCTAAATTTCTAATGATTGAGAATTACAAAAACGAACAACACAAAAAGTTTCTAATCAAATTCTAAACTTAGTGATTTGAACATTTTAAAAGCTACGTATGAATTTTGATTGATAATTTGAATGGTACTTTATGTTAATCTTTCTGAATAACAATTCAGAATCTTCAACATTCTCAGTGATTGCTTTTCCCTACCTTGTTTCAGTTAGCCAATGGTGGAAGGCATTAGCATGTCTGGCAAATTCTCTACGTAGTCGGTCATTTTCTTCTTGGCGCTGAGCCTCTTTAGCTAGCTCTAAATCACGCTCCTGTACAAAAAATAGATATACATTAAAACCTTAAAATATTCATTATTCCAGAGAACACTAAGGTTACTGTGAAAGGACAAATTGAAGAAAGGTCTCCTTTTCAAGTGTATCAAACTTAACCTAGAAATTATGCATTTTATAATTGTAAAGATTCAGAAATTAAATTCATACATCTTTTAATGTGGATTGGAGAAATTAGTCTTAAAACAAAGATAAGGTAATTCAAAATTTAAAATGTAAGCTCAAAGAAGTATAATGTCGAATGTTTTGGTTAAACAGCTTCTGTTCTGAGGGTAAAAATTAGAAATTTTAAGACACAAAAATAAAATGTGAATAAAAATGTTGTTTTCTAACTAGTCATTTCTTGGCTGCATAAAACAGTCAGTTACTGTAGTTCATATAATTTTCCTTACACAACTTTACACTTGTTTTTTTTTCATATGCTCTAAATTTCATGTCTGTTTTCACCTTATAAGTACTTTGTATGCAGAAAGTACCAGCAAATGTTTATATTTTAAAATGATAATGCTAAATATAATGTTAAAAATAAGAACTCATTCGTGAAAAATACTTTACAAAAAGAACTATGTAGTACTGGTAATTTCACACAGAATTTGCTGTATACATTGAACACCTTAAAACAACCTTTAACTCTCTGCACTCTGAATCATTTCCATACTAATAATGATGATAGTTTCTTGTTCAAGATGTTTTCATATATTATTAACACTATACATATGTCATTGATTCTTTGATATATGTATGAAATTTCTTTTTCAAAAAAACAATAAAATCCTCTAAGAGACCAGATCATGCTATGTGTGTTAATTATCCTGTTCTATGTTTCTACAGTTGTTAATTCTCACCCCAATTATTTTCTGCAGGTTTCTCCAGGTCTCTTCAAGAGCTTCCATGGTGAACCAAGTGTAAGGATTTGAGCCAACATTAAAGCTTTTTATCTGTTGGTCTAATGCAGCTAGAGCCTCAAAATCTGCCTGAGCTGAACTCAGAGAGGCCTGAAACTGAGAGTGAGCTTCACGCAAGGCCTGAAAAAGAAGTGTTCATTAATTGCAATCTCTTTACAGTTAAGACTCAGAGCTTGCTTACAAGTTAAAGAATAATGAGTTATAAAATGGGTCTCTATAATAAAATAATACATAACTTCACTATTCCAATGTAGTTATAAAATAATGAAGAAACTTTCAAACAAGATGAGCTTATCACAATATGTCTTGTCAAAAAACCAAGGGCAAAAAATATGATGTAGCATAATGTAAGAACAAAAGTGAATCTCTTGAAACCAGGTGGATGATTTCTAGACACATATATACAAAGTTAAACTGAAATATGTTTGTCACCTACACTGTTAAATTTTATTATTGATAAAAATAGTATATTCCATGAAAAATACACTATGAAAAAGGATGTTTGTTTAATTGCACAATGTGCAATTTGAAATAGAACCATGAACTGCAATAACAAGGACTTTCCTTAAACCAGTATCCTTCAGGTAATGGTGTCTATACTTTACAACATAAGCTACTGGTAAGTTACATTCATTACTTTTATCATAATAAGTAATTCAGAAATTATTTTATGAACTAATATGTAGTTCAAAAGGCATTCAAAGCAAAATTATTTAAATGTTTTCAAGATATTAACATGAATGTGCAACTCACAACAATGTATATAAAAGAACAAAACTGGTACCCTAATTTCCTCAATTGAATTACATCGAACAGGATCAGTCAGGTCTTCCTCTGCATTTTCAAACCAACTATTAAATGCTGAGGCTTTCTTGGCAAAGGTTAAGAAGAGGTCTTCAATCTGTAAAAGATGAGGAGATTAGCAAAAACTGACATTTTCAAACCAACTATTAAATGCTGAGGCTTTCTTGGCAAAGGTTAAGAAGAGGTCTTCAATCTGTAAAAGATGAGGAGATTAGCAAAAACTGACATTTTACAAACCAACTAGTTAAATGCTGAGGCTTTCTTGGCAAAGGTTAAGAAGAGGTCTTCAATCTGTAAAAGATGAGGAGATTA